GACATACCGGTGAGGAAGTCCTTGGGCTGCCCGACGTCCATCCAGAAGCCCGACAAGTTGTACGCGTACAGGTGGCCATCGGTGGCCATTCGCGGGAACACTTCCGTCTCAATCGATGTCGGCCGCAGCTGTCATATAAAAGTAATTGTATTAGTGTTTGAATGCGTGGTAAGTATGGCCGCCAAACTGACCTCAATCCTGTCCAGAACCGATGTCTCAAACAAATACATTCCGGCGCTGATCTTATTGGACACAAACTCCGACGGCTTCTCCACGAAGCGGTCAATTTGGCCGCTCTTCTCGTCGTAGACAACGACACCGTATTTGGACGGCTCCTCCACGCGAGTCACCTGAAGGTACAGACAATACGTGTGGTTAACAATAGGGTAAAAACGCGGCGCACAGATGAGCGCCGTTAATACTGACCACAATAGTTCCCTGTCGGCCGTGGCCTCTATGAAAGTCCAGCATTTGTTTGAACGGAAAATCACAGATAATATCACTGTTTAGCACGAAGAATGGCTCCGAGTCGGCGGTCAGCAGATCCCTGGCCAGCGCTAGCGGGCCGGCGGTTCCCAACGGCTGCTCTTCGTGCGATATCGTGATCGTGATTCCCAACTAATTAGATTACCACGTGTTAAAAAACAATACATAAATTACTGCATACAATTGATTACAAGTAATAGAGTGTACACTAAATAGAGTACAGTCTATACACCATATGGTGTACACTACACACACACCTCCCGCTCCTTAACTTTGATCTCCTTCTCCAAGAGCTCCGCCCGATAGCTGACGGCCAGTATTATGTGCTTCACATTGGCCTATGGGGTGAGTGAGTCATATAAACATGAAACAAGGTTAGTTCAATTGGTGCACCATGCTCAATTTGCACAAATACCTGTACGAGTGCCTCGATTTGGTGACAAATCATCGGTTTGTTGCAGAAGTCGACGAGTGGTTTGGGTTGCGATAGTGTCAGTGGCCTGAGTCGGGTGCCGTACCCGCCCACTAGTATCAGGGCCTTCATTGGTCAGTGGTGTTGACCTATGGGTCACTTTACTGTATGATTGTTATAATGGCAGTACAATTACTATTTAGCCGGCGTTTAATTGCTTAGCTGTTTGTTATGATAACATTTACATATGTTTACAACAGTATTGTGTGCTTATAAGTGACGTTACATTACTTGTTATGTGCCGTACGTATAGTACGTCCCCCGAGAATAGTGTTGTAAAGTTTTTGTTGATTTAATAGACGTTTTTTGTGAGTTTTATTTTATTCTGTGAGTATTATATGTGCTGAATAGAGCGTTCATTATAACGGGACTTATACTGTAGTATAATTATAGTGTGATTACAGAATATTCTGTATACTATATGTATTCTCTGTATTATATTTGCTAAATGCATATTTATTTTTCCAAACAATTATCCAATTATTATTACATCTCATCTAGAATATTTATTTTATTTAACATACATGTAAAATATTTATAATTAATTGAATATTTAGTTATATATAGTTATGTATAAAATTACTACACGAATAATGCATTTATTGAATTAATATTATACAACGACAACTATTTTACATCAATATCAACATGTATAATTATAGTGCAATATTTTGTACCATTTACTGTAATTTTCTCTATAAAATAAATGAAATGTTATAAGCATGTACTATATTTAGTCCGGCTTTTATCTACTGATCATTAGCTTATTTATATGTATTAACTATTGAAACGAGAGTCGACTGTAAACCTTAGATATGCGCTACAAATATCTCTCATATAGTTTGGCCTAAAAACTAGTGCCAAGACTTAAGGGCAAAAAAAAGTGCAGCACTTTATAAATACGCCCAAAAATATGCATATTTTTTATATAACAAACAAAATGGTATTTTAAAGCCTTTAGATAAATGTAATAATACAGTGAAACTCAATATATGAATACACAGCACAGCCAGTAGTCGACCCCAAAAAAGGCACAGCCCTTACGGGAGAGCGCATACACTACAGTATATACAGGGGAGTCACCAGAGGTGTACATATAGCACAACTGAGCACAACTTTCAAGACCCCCGCGAACCCCCGGGGGTGGTGCGGATCAGCTACTCGTAAGGGAAATGTTATGCAATGGTCTGGATGGCAGGAGCGCATACACACCCGGAATATACACACACCAGCCCTCTTACACTAAATAAATAGGGTAAAATTCCTGGCATACACGCTATATAAATAGTGCTGTATGTGTGTTTGGGGGAGACAAACATGGTTATTTTGCACATACAGTACACACAACTCCCCCATTCTTTAGGCATTTTGAAGCAAACAAACCTGTTTTTAGGCCATAATTCTTATGGAGAGCCCCGGGTATGGCATACAATAGCTGATGCTGTA